TCAGAAAATAGCACACCGGTTTTCCTATACCAGTGGCCGGTTAACAAATAAAGTTTTATCGGTGCATCGTGATCTTATTTTTAGTCATGATGATTGAGCAGTCATTAGTGGATCGCATTAGCCAAACAAACAAAAAATGTTAAAGCTGTGGAGATTTGTGACAAAAATAAAAAGTTAAAGCTGTGGAGATTAGTCTTAAGTAGATGTTGCTAAATAACATTATTAACATCTACTTGCTGTGGAGATTTGTTCAAAAAAAAAAAGCTATAAGTAGATGGGTTGCTCACTAACATTATTAAGCCTGATATCATTTCTGAGTTTATGATAAAGCCCAATACTCGAAAGAAAGATAATTAACTCCTTTTCCTGGATACAGTGCCACACTCTATAGTCCACGATAATCCTAATCATTTTGTTTTCGTAATGATCTTTTAATTCAACTTATGATGATGAGTGGAAGACGGCCTCTTCCGTAAAGGTTCTGGATACAAATATTTATTTTATTTTTTTTAAATATTCAATAGATCGGAAGGAAGGAAACAAAAAGTAATAGAAGAAGATAAAGAAAATGTAGTAGAATATGGAAGAAGATGATCAACGATTAACCTTGTAAGTGGTTTAGGCAAAAGAAAACCAAACCACTAAACAGTTGCTAATAAGTAAAAAGAACCAAAAGGAAAGATAAGAAGGAGAAATAATAATCTTAAAATGATGATAGTTCCCATTTTGTCTTGGGATAATGTAGCAAAATACATCCTCAACTTTTTGTTTTTGACAACATTAACTAAACTAAGAGGTTCCAACCAAAATACATTTTTCTTCTGTAGGTTATTATTACGATATATCATCTGGTTCATATGAACTTTAGTAAGAATGTAAAATATTATGATAGATACGTAATGAGTATAACTTCAATACATAAACAACAATATACTCAATAGCTAGCAACACTTAACAACTCTTTATTTTTAGAGTGCTCTTTTCATAAGAGCAGTTGAGATTAATTCCACAAATAGACAAACGCATACGCAAAGTTTGTGCGTCATGTCTCATTAATTCATTGCTGTTTGAATTTCTTTATTTTCATTGTATTCGGATATAACATATTGTTCTTTTTGTTAAAAAATATAGCAATATGTAATACGTGGATAGGATGTTAAAGGATAATTCATAAATCAATCATTCAACGGATAAAACTTCTTAAGTGGAACGAGTGGGTACGTCCACTATCACGTGAATTGATTTGTGTACCACTTTACACACATATACGTTATTTGTACGAATGTTTGTAATACACGAGTTTGTAAAATATTATTACTTTTGTTTACTGGTGTTTTGTGTTCGGACAGCATATTGGAAAGTAAACATCACATCATGATGTATGAGGACATAATCAATCATATGATGTCAGGCAAACAATGCAATACGTGAACATGATTTATGAACGTATGAAATCATATGCAACAAATCACATATTTTACTTGGTATACATTGTGATTACAATAATAAGCAAAGAGGCAAGTGGGCAGAAGAAGTTGGGTCACACAAATGTCTCCTATGCCACTTGAAGAGCCAATATTTTCCAGTCATATATATATACTCCCTCCGTTTTATATTAAGTGTCGTTGTAGAGAATTTTTTGCGTTACAAAATAAGTGTCGTTTTCGGTTTTCAATGCAAAATTTATTAATTTTATTATGTAATTTGTTTTTCTATTGGTTAAAATATGGTTAGGTGTATGGGTAACTGTGTTTTTATATATGAAATATGTAAAATTAATTGTTTTCTTAATCCGTGTGCACAGCTGTAGAGTGACACTTATAATAAAACAGAGGGAGTATATTGTAATATTTCTTTTATCAGCTGATTCCTTCGCAAAATGAAGTTCGTTTTTCTTTATATAATTAGATAATATTATCAAATACGAATACGACGAATATGTGAATCTTTTAAAATAGTTGGCATTATCTTTTTATACCTAACAGTTTTTGTTCGAGGTACAAGCCATTAATTTCCTTCTATCATAAACACTTTATCATATCTTAGAAATTCATAATAAATACTAAAAAACTACATTTACCCAAGCGTTTGCTTTGTAAAGCTAAAACCTTCAAATATTACATGACTCATCGAAACTAATGATTATGAACATTAATCACTTTTTAAAAAAGGTTTAGTAGGTACTTTGTTTTATACTCTCTCCGTTTTATATTAAGTGTCGTTGTAGAGAATTTTTTGCGTTACAAAATAAGTGTCGTTTTCGGTTTTCAATGCAAAATTTATTAATTTTATTATGTAATTTGTTTTTCTATTGGTTAAAATATGGTTAGGTGTATGGGTAACTGTGTTTTTATATAGGAAATATGTAAAATTAATTGTTTTCTTAATCCATGTGCACAGCTGTAAAGTGACACTTATAATGAAACAGAGGGAGTAAGTTCCAAATATATAGAGCTTAGAAAAATAGCAGAAAATTATACAGTAAATAGAATAAACATGTCTTAAACCTAAACATGTAAAAATTGTAGTATCTTCGGTAGTATTCGCTTATGGTGTAAAGACAAAAGTCACCGAAGAACCAACCAAACAAAAAGAGACGAAAGTTTTAAAACTTCTGTCTAAATGTCTCTCTCTTTTTAAGTTGTCGCCTTCTCGCATATGATTCTTCTTCTTCCTCCTGGAGATGACAAGACCAGAGATAGAGATTCTATCAGACCGATTATAACTGCTGTTTTTTTTTCTGGGCTTTCCTTCAGGTTTCATCACTTCAAGTAAAAAACTTACTTTGCTTTTGGTTTCATATCATGGTTTCCGCGGGAAAAGTTCTCCCTCCCTTTTGATGCAAAAGACGAGAAGAAAGGTTTGATCGTTGGAACTCTAATTATTTTTTCTCCTTTGCTTAGGGTTTATTGCAAAACTCTAACTGGTTTGTATCTATTGTGTATATTTGCTTGTGTAACTCTCTTCTTCCCCGAGCTGCCTTTAATCTAATATTGACTTTATGTGCAATAAACAGAATGTTACATCAAATCACTGAGAGAGTCATGGAACTTTTTTATATTTTTCCTTATTGGGAGGTGTTAAAGATGGTCCACCATTAGGTAACAAAAATAAAAGGGATACAGTGAGATACAATGAATGACACTGACACCATAGTTCGGTATTGAATTTGTATGTGCGATTAGAGGTTTTTTGATCATACCTTTTAAAATTCACTAGTAAGAACAGGGTCTTTCTGGTGTATATGAGTCCGATGTTGTGTAGCGTTGACGATTTGGGTGATGGTAAATGACTTAAAGCCACCAGCCTTTTTTTTCTTGTCTTTTAGCTGCAAATCACTTACATAAGTACATTTGTCGAATTATCTATCTAATCTTTTTGTCGAATTATCTATGTAATCTTTCTGATAATTGTATTATCATAATAAATCAGCTTTAAAAAAAAAATCTCAACTTGTGATCTTGTATTTGCAGTTCTTGAAGTTTTTTTTTTTTGTTTAATGAACTTTTGTATGTATTTCTTTCTTTTTTGGCAGTTGAGGAAAAATGAATACAACAACTTCATCACATTTTGTACCACCGACAAGGTTTGGAATATACGACCCTCTCAACCAAATAGGTACTATGTGGGAAGAAAGCTTCAAGAACAATGGAGGCTTCTACACTCCTAACTCTATCATCATCCCTACTAACGAAAAACCAGACAGCTTGGTACACTTTTCATAATTTGTTAAAAAAAAAAATTTTAATTCAGAAACTAAAGTAATGGTTGCCTTTGTTTCAGTCGGAGGATGGAACAGAAGGAACTCCTCACAAGTTTGACCAAGAGGCTTCCACGTCTAGACATCCTGATAAGGTCAGTTATATGGTTTTTCTTTAATTCTTCGGTGTTTTTGTGAATTGAAATCTTTATATCTTCACAGACACAAAGACGGCTTGCACAGAATCGCGAGGCAGCTAGGAAAAGTCGTCTGCGCAAGAAAGTACGAAACTGAATTTATTTATGTTTTTGTTTTTGTTAAACTAAGTTTGGAGTCTTTGTCTTGTCAGGCTTATGTTCAGCAGCTAGAGACAAGCCGATTGAAGCTAATTCACTTAGAGCAAGAACTTGATCGTGCTAGACAACAGGTTTGCAGAATAATCTTTCTTAAGTATCTTGTGGGTATATAATGATATATGATCATGTAATCTTGCAGGGTTTCTATGCGAGTAACCGTGTCGATACTAATCCTCTTGGCTTCTCAGACAACATGAACTCAGGTTTAAATCTTTCACCTTTTCGAATATCATTTCAAGTTCGAGATTTCATTTGTTTTTTTGTTGTTGCTGGTAGGGATTGTTGCATTTGAGATGGAGTATGGACACTGGGTGAAAGAACAGAACAGGCAGATACACGAGCTAAGAACGGTTTTAAACGGACAAGTTAGCGATGTAGAGCTTCGTTTGCTAGTTGACAATGCCATGAAACATTACTTTCAACTCTACCGAATGAAGTCAGCAGCTGCAAAGCTAGATGTCTTTTACATCATGTCTGGAATGTGGAAAACTTCAGCAGAGCGGTTTTTCTTGTGGATTGGTGGGTTTAGACCCTCTGAGCTTCTCAAGGTACTTAGAACAACTCATGTTAATGACTTTTTTCTACAATGGTTTTGGAGATAGATCTTTTTTTTTTTGGTTCTGCTTAGGTTCTGTTACCGCATTTTGATCCTATGATGGATCAACAAGTATTGGATGTATGTAACTTGAGGCAGTCATGTCAACAAGCGGAAGATGCAGTATCTCAAGGTATGGAGAAACTGCAACATACGTTAGCAGAGAGTGTAGCAGCTGGTGAACTCGGTGAAGGAAGTTATGTTCCTCAAATAACTTGTGCTATGGAGAGATTGGAGGCTTTGGTCAGCTTTGTTAATCAGGTAAGAAAGAAAGATTAATAAGTAATGTAATAAAAGCTTATTAGGACTAAGAACTGTTTTATTAAACTTATTTTTCTTTTGTGGTAGGCTGATCATCTGAGACATGAGACATTGCAACAGATGCATCGGATCTTAACCACGAGACAAGCGGCTAGGGGATTGTTAGCATTAGGTGAATATTTCCAACGGCTTAGAGCTTTAAGCTCCAGTTGGGAAACTCGGCAACGTGAACCAACATAAAAGATTAAATTTTCAAGAACAAGAACACAAGCTTATGTTTGATGATAGTATAATGAGAATTATTCTCTTGCTGCTTTGAGGAAAGTTGTAAATATGATTATCAACGTGAAGCTTGTGGCTTTAGAAACTCACGTTGTAAATATGTAGATCATGTATGATTTGCTTGTGGTATATTATATGATATAGTGTGATGTTTATAATAATTAAGGAATCATATAATCACACAAATAGGAGGAAAGAAAAAATTATCAGAAGATATATGTTGACCACATAGAATCTTTAAATTTGTATTACTTTACTAAACAACATAGAAGAAGTAGATCAGAAGATAAAAGACTATAGTATGGATTTCACCATTTGATATAAGTGTATTTTCTAAGCAAATTGTCTCTTTGAAACACAATTATCTCGACAACTCTTTGGATGCTTTTTTTTAACTTGAACAAAAGCATGAAGCCTCAAAACACCAAGCAAGTCATCCAACACTTGTGATACTTTGAAACTGAATGTGTTCTTATTGTTGTTCACTTTACCCATACTCATGAGATGATCAATACCCCAATATGTGTTTCGAATCTTCAATAATATACATTTTTATCAAGTTTTGTGCGCTAGTACAACCATAGTACATTATTATGTATGATATATGTTTCCCTACATATAAGAAACTTAGTTGGTGTCTAAATATTGTATGGTTTGAAATAAGGGCTTTTAAGGACATGATTTTAAGAAATGGTCACATGAATGAGTAGTTAAATTGACAAATGTGCGCATCAAAAAGACAAGGCAAAAGACCTCTACATCATTGTTACAATCTCTTATAATCTCCACTCTGTTATAACGAAAATAAATCAAATATATAGAACATAAATTAGTCTTTTACTCTAGTCTTTCATTCTCACTTTCATTATTTTTAAGATATATTTCTTTTTCTATTATTTTTTCTAAATTAGCGAAATGTTCTGATCGAACGTCATATACGCCCTCATGCATGCTTTCGTTGCGTTCTTTTTGTTCTCGACTTTCTATATGATTTTGAGGACACCACTAAGGTTTCGGACACCACTGAGGTTCGGACAATTTCGTCATGGGTGGATACGGTCTGATGTTGAAAGATCGTGAAGCAACAGTGGCGGTTGGGAATAAAACTTTCACGTATAATCAGAATAAACCTGAGTATTTCTAAGTTTGGTTACCATAAACTTTTTTATTTGAAAGTATTTGTATCTTAACAACCTCAAGCTTAACAATCATTATAAAACATCTGGTACTTCAAATCCATGGTGAGATAGAGAGAGCCTTATTAATCGCCAAGCAGCAAAATTGGTTACAAAGAGTTCGGCCTAGAAATCTTAAAGGTGTGCTACCTCTATGGATTCAGTTGATGAGCAAAAAGAGTCCATGGTAAAGTACAAAGCAAAACCATCCAAAAGAAAATTGTGTTGTTGTGTTTTGTGCATAGATTAAAAGCGTTAGTAGCAATACCAAAGGTGCAGCCAGTATCCTTCCCTTCTTATTGTTTATATGGATCCCAACAAATCGGAACATAAGAAGGATTTGGTTCTAAAGACTTGAAGTTAGAAGGGTTAATAGGAAAAGACAGAAACTTGGAAAAAAGTTGGTTTTAATCGGATATATACAGACTTCTCATGTCTACGGTTGGAGCACTTAAAGACCGATGAAGTGGAGAACGGTCCTTCACAGATTTATTCTCCACATGACTTGGACTAGAACTTTGTCAGACAAAACAGTAGACATAACTTCGTAGTTAAGGAGATTAGATTGTTGGTGACTTGATTTTAAACAAGAACAAGAACATAAGCTTGGTGTTTTATATGGTACTATGATGATGATGATTCTTTTCTTGTGGCTTTGGGGAATGTTGAAAATATGATCAGCAACGTGAAGGTTGTTGCTTTGGAAACCCACGTGGTATACTATATGATAGTGTGATGATGTTTATAAGATTTACGGAATCACAGGAAAGAAAATTTGATTTAAATTATAAAAAAAAAATCATTAACCAAACTCAAACTTTGTTCTGTCAGAATCAATGGGATTAGTTTTTCTTCTACCTTTACAAAGGAAGGGAAAAATAATCAACAAAATATAAAAATGTAACAAACACCTGAGGATCTGAATCATCTGATCAAACTACTAAAGAAACATAAAACCAGAAGAAAAAAAATGGGATGATGGATGAAGAGAAGAAACTCCACGGAGATATACAAAAGAACAAAACAAATCTCAAGAAGAAATAGAGCTAAGAAGATCAAGAACTTGTCTGATGTTAGGCCTTTCATTTACAGAGGCAATGCACCTGATTGCAATAGCAAGTGCATCCTCCATTGCCTTTGAGAATTCTTCCCCACCTGCAATATCTCTGTCTATGCAATCCATTCTCCTACCTTCTTGATCACACAGCCTCACCCAATCCGTAAGATCAACGGCTCCTGATTGACCTGAGATTATGTCACCTGCGCTCCGTCTAGTCAAAAGCTCCATAAGAATCACTCCAAACGCATAAACATCTGATTTTAGCGTTGGAACTGGTTTAGAAGCTGATGCAAGTTCAGGAGCTGAGTAACCGAGTGCGCTCATGTTTAGTATCTGTTCTGCTACACCAGATGAACTCATCAGACGGTGAATACAGTAATCGGTTATTCGCACTGTGTTCTCAGGACTCGTGAGGATTATGTTTGTTGGCTTTAAGTTCCCGTGTGGCATTGCTCTATCATGAAGGTAAAGAAGACACTGCGCCACTTCAACCGCAACTTTTAGTCTTTGGATGAAAGACATTGGAGAATACCTCCGAGGAGTAGTCTCTGCACAGAAAGGCAAATACATTTAGACAGTGAAATGGCAAAAAGAGAATTGACTAAAAGAGCTTCTAACCATATAGATGCATGGCCAAGCTTTCTCCTCCCAAGTAATCAGACAGAAGAAGCCTTTCTTGTTCCCTAGGACCCCAATAGTAAGCTCTCAATGGAACAATGTTTGGATGTTTTAACGATCCGATTTTTTTAGCTTCTTTCGCAAAATCTTTCTTATGCCTCACGAGTCCAACTCTCAACCATTTCACGGTCAACATATGCCCGTTATCCAGAGTCGCTTTGTATAGTGTCCCATGGCTGCTTCTACCTAAAACTTCCGCAGGAGCTCGTGATAACTCTTCTGCTGTTAGCTTTAATGAGACATCTAAAAAGAAGAGTTCTCCAGCCAGACGATCGGGTGAGTAAACATCTAACATCACAGGCTGGTCGCTAAAACGAGGTGAGGACAAAGGCGAGCCTCCTGAAGAAGACTTCCGCTCAGATGTGGGAGGATAATCATCAATGAGGTTAGGGACTGTAGTGGCTGAAGTTGCCTGCTCAGTTATTTCAGGTTCAGACCCAGGGATGCCAGATAACGACCGTGAATTAGCTGTTAGCAAGTGGTCGTTTGAGAAGCTCAAAGATGATGACTGGTGTTCAGCGTTTGAGGTGAAGTTGAGAAAGGAAGGACGAGAAGAGCGTCCAGATTTGGCAGCTTGGTCAATAAACCCACTCTTGCCATGAAAGTCCTTGAGCTGAGTTCGATGGTAGACAAACAAAACAAAAAGTACCATAATAGCTGCTCCTACTGAAGCAATAATGATAGCTATCTTTATGCTAAGCCTCGAATGATGATGATGTGCTGCTTTCTCATGCACAGCTAGTTCACCATTAGAACCCAATGGAGTCCCACCTGGGAGACTTAGCTTGGAGTTACCAGGATAAAACGATGAACGTGGGTAGCTTCTAAGGTTCTCTGGAATGATCCCTGATAAGTCGTTGTAAGACACATTGAATCTCCCCATTTGAGAAGGAAGCTTGTCAGGAATCTGACCGTTAAAGTCATTGTTTGACAAGTCAAGAAACTCAAGGCCACTAAGCTTGTTGAGTTCGCTTGGAAGCTCCCCAGACAACTTATTATTAGCAAGATTCAACACTCTAATCTTTTCCATTGTACCTATATCTCCGGGTAACGCACCGGTCAAAGAATTAGTCGAGAGATCAAGCAACTCCATCTGAGGATCAGAAGTTAAAGCCATAAGCTCACTAGCACGTGAGCCACGAAAAGGAATTGACCCTTCCAAGTTATTCATAGAAAGATTCAAACTTCTCAAGCTTGCAAAAGTGAAGAAGCTTTGTGGAATATCGCCGCTGAACTTATTTGAGCTCAGATCAATCACAGAGAACTGAGAAGCTCCTGACTCCTCCCACAGAGAAGGCAAGCTACCAGAAACAGAGTTGTTACTGATCCTCAACACACTTAACCTCGAAAACGCGGAAGTGAAGTTCGGTAATGTTCCAGACAAGCTGTTTGAGCTCAAATCAATAACATCAGGAGTAGCTTCCCAGTTTTTAACAACGGACACGTCACCAGAGAAAGTGTTCCCACTCAAATCTATCACTAAACAACTTTTAAAACTCGATGGAAGATCACCAGACAAGCCGTTGGAAGAAAGATTCAACAAAGTTAAAGTCGTTGAATTGATTTCACTAATTGATCCTGCACTTGAAAATAAAATCAAACATTACAAAATTATAATTCTAAAAATAAATAAAAAAATCAAAAAATCTTTCAATTTTCACCTGTAAAACCGTTTTGACTAAGATCAAGCTCTCGCAACGGAATCGAACTCTGCAACAACTCTCCAGGCACAGTACCAAACAATTCATTACGCGCAAGCCTCAGAATCTTCAAACCAGGCTGTGATCCGAAACGCGGCAGCTCGCCATTGATCTGATTATTCTCCAAATCAACAACCTCGAGATTCTTAAACGAACCAATCGCATCAGCGGTGAAAAACGCACCGTTTAAAGCGTTGTGGCTCAGATTCAAGTGACGGAGAGTGTTGGAGATGCTCGTGAGGTTATCAACTGATAAATCCAAACCGCCGTGGAAACGGTTAGAGCTCAAGTCAACGAACTCAACGTTCTTCAACTCCGCGAAAATCTCACCAACGTCTCCCCAAATCTCGTTCCCGCGCAAATCCAACGACCTCAACTGCTGGAGGTTACGAAACCCGCCAGGGAACCCGCCAACGAACTTGTTAACCGACAGGTTCAAGTAATTCAAGTTCCATAGATCCGAGATCCGACCCGGAATCGGTCCGTAGAATCCGTTATCCGACAGATCCAACCGTTGGAGAGACGAGATGCCTCCGAGGGAAGGCACGACCCGACCCGAGAAGTTGTTTCCGGAGAGAGTGAGGTTACGGAGAGAGGTCAGACCGGTTAGCGTGCTGAATTTAAGCTCTCCGGATAAACCGAGCCGGTCTAGATTAATCGCGACGATCGAACCGGTTTCCGCGTCGCAGGAGACGCCGTGCCAGTTCTCGGGGCAAGTTGTGGGGTCTGTGAGGCTGCTTGTGGCGGACCATGAGATGCGTTGGTTTGAGGCTTCGTCGCGGATGCCTTTGCGGAACTCGAGTAGAGATCGGAGCTCAGGCTCGGTCACGGCGTTGGCACCGAGGAAGAGGAAGAGGAGTAGAGAGATGAAGCAGAGAGGACTCATTTAGCCCGGGGGGGGGAATGTGAACGGGGGATGTAAACACTAGAGATTCATTATCTGAGAGAGAGAGACAGTGATGCTGAGATTTAGGGATTGAAACTCGAAACCCTAGATTTTCTGGAAATTGGAATAGGGAAGAAGAAAGAGAGAGTGTGTGTGTGTGTGAGTATGTGTGTGAGGAGAGAGAGTGTGAAGAGGTTTTACAGGAAAATAGAATTTACTTTTGTTATTTATTTATGGTATGTCTTTCTCTCCCTAACGCAATTATAGATGAGATTTCTTTACATTTTTTCTGTCAATCAAATTTAATTAATAGTTTCTAATTATAGTTACGTATTTTAAATTACCGATTATGAGTTTTCTTCGTTTGATTTTTTTCCTAACTAGCTAACTAAAACATTAAAATTTTATAACGTACTTAGTGGGACTAGAGTCAAGAGGGTTATATTTTAGTTAAAAAGATCGTCAATATAAATTAGAAATATATATATTGAAGAAAAAGAAGAAGTGGTGGAAGGAATATGATTAGTTTGCAGATAAGTAAATAAAAACAGACTGGAAAAGACAATGGCATGTCGTTGAGTCGTTCTGTCCTTTTTTTTCTCTTTTCTTCAGAAAATTCGTACCAACCCACCTTCTTCACATGATGCAACATCGATACGTGACGGAGAAGTGCAACGCGGCAACGCTGTCCTAAAACGGGACGGAGAGACAATAGCTTGGAGTGTCATTACACGATTCTTATTGACCAACATGTCAACATATCAAATTTTGCTTTAAGCAAAGAAAAAAACATTTCAAATTTTGTTTGCTATTGTAAAACTTTTTTAGTTAATTTCAGTTTACAAATATTTGTTACACTGAATCACATACATTATAAACAACATAGTTACATTAACATCAAGACCGATCCCAAGTTAAAAGTTTTGAAAAAATTATATGTAATATAAGTCATAAAAAATACTTTTAGACTTCCAAATTAGTTTTAAAAAAAAAAATTAGCTGAAATTTTTTAAAAAATAGTCTAACACCTCCAAAATCTTGCCTTTAAATATCATTTTAATGATATTAACTAAATATATAACTAGCAAAACCTTAATTAAAATGTATGTAGATTGTTTAAACGTTTTGACTAAAAATTACATTTTACATTTTTAGGAGTAAGATAAGTTCATTATTATTAGCTGGAGGTTTATGAAGATCCGTGGTTATTTGGTATACTAACTTACGAAATATGCTTATTTTTCTTTTGAAAATTTATGCCCCTATTTGACTGATTGATATAATATTCCCACTTGAGATATGTATACATCAATCAAATTTGTCGCGACAAATTTTTTGATATGCAAAATATGAACATAGATCTTGAAGAGTCAATTTACTTGGTCCTTTTTAGAATGTCATTTTCTCTAATCATAAAACGAAAGAAGCCAAAGTTATTCCACTGTCTATAAATCTACATATTTTATATGTCAATCTCTCTTTCTACATCATATTGGGTCCATCAAAATAAATATAATTTTGGTATTGTCGAAACTTGACAACAAGCTGTAATACCATTATTAAATACTCTTCTTTTCTTAGCATATAATAGTATTAAACTAATCATCTAGAATAATTAGAACATGCCATTGCATATTAAGAAAAAAATTCAAGGATAATATTATAAATTGCTGTCTCCAAATTTCCACCGAAAAAAGGTTGTTTCCCGTGACACTTCTAAGATCTCAAGTATTTCTAGGAGGAGAATACAAACTCATAAATGTAAAAAGTACATTTTGTCGTCCAAACTTCGCTTTTTAACTATAAATAAAACTCAAAAAGTTTCTGAGAGCACCTGTGATTCAAATGTAAGTCTGATTTCTATTGAAGCTGCCAAGAAAAGATATTCCGAATTCTCAAGATTTGATATCAAAGGACTTGATGAGCCTTTCCATAGTATCTGTTGATGAACGGCGACTGCAAAATTGCAAACAGGCAAACCACATTTACATGTTAAAGGTTTTGTAACAAAGAACAAACCATTCTCAAAATATTTAATATACTAATTGGTCAATGCGGGTTTTTGTTCTTACCTTGACGCCACTGACATCTGGTGTTTCTGGTGAAGGCTGAGGGTAGAATTTGTAGAACTTCATGCTTTGAAAGGCTTGCTTAGTATCTTCGCTCATTTCTTCAATTGCTTTCTTTCGAGCCTCTCTGGCCTGCAAGGATAATCCCGTTATCAGCAAAACAATTTTCTATAATCTATAGCGCATAGATATCATTCATCTTGGTTTGATTATACTTTACCTCTCGATTAGCTTTCTTTGCAGCTCGAACTTGCTCTTTGACATACTCCTGAGATACAAAAACAAAAAGAGTTTAGACATAACATATCTTCAGCCGTCATGAACTGATTATTGAGTTACATATACAGCTCCACTTACTTTGAACTCATCTTTTTGTTCTGCAGATAAGGCTTCCTCTTCAATCAGTTTATCCACAAATTCCTGAAATACATGCACAAATATCAATATAATGAATAAAAGAACACACAAGGACCGAGCAGTGGTAATCTGAATACGCTCTTGAACCAAATAAAGAAGTAATTTTCGAGTTTCATCGTTGAAGAAAAGCCGAAGGCACACACCTCAAGTTCGTCAAACTCCCAGTCAAACTCACATACAACCTGCACAAAAAGAACATTAAAGCTTGAATATTAAAATACAACACATTTTGTGTAAACTGCCACTTCCAACACAGTCATTACTCGCTGAGTGACTTACCGGCGGTTCGGAGGGAAACATTATTTGGACCTCAGTACTCTGTTCGAGTTCATCTTCCTTAAATGGCTGATAGAAATCTGCAAAGCAAAAAAACGAGAAAAGATCAGATATTATTAGCCAATACATGCATGCCATGTACTACAAAAGATCCTCACTCTGCAAATGTTAGCTAATATTAGTAGTGAGAAACAAAACTCACATGGAAGGCAGTACTCGTACTTCTTAACACGATCTTCCTTCATATGTCTGAGAGCAGCTCTGCAGATAATATAAAGCTAAATTGAGTACACCAAGGCAGATTCAAACAATACTATCTGTATGAGAACAAAGATCTGCAATACCAAAGACCCATATATAAAATCCTGCGCCTTAACGAAAAATTACTAGGCAGACATGACGAAACAAACGATGTAACGTAAAGCCATGCTTAATGTTCTACTGTCGATATCATATGTAATGTAACTCAAAAATCCTTTAATATCAAGTAGACAACTAGACATTCATATTTTCTTTAACTCTATTAGTGAGAAGATAAGAAGACAACACATGTTACTTACCTCCTCTGCGTACAGGTCATGACAAAAATCTGAAAGTTCATCCTATCAACTTGTCTACCTCTGTAAGAAGAATAAAGGAACAAAGCAAAGGTAATTAGCAAATGCTAGCAAACATCCAAAACAAAGAATATTACCAGACGTAATCTATGTTTCTCTTCTTGCCGATTTATTAGGCCACCCCAACAAACGTGTTCATATGCAAGTGGAATTCATGGACTAAGTACCTTTTGTCAAACGGAATGTAAGGAAGCCAGTCCATTTTCATCGTCTTCATTGGAAGGATTTCCTCCACTTCTCTCTGAACCGACGTGACTCCTATCTTATCAGAAGGTGGAAAGGGTGATTCAACCTGAAAATAAAGAATGGATAAATTCACCACAGAAAAATAAATGATACTTAACCCAGTGATCAACAATGCAAAGCAAACGTTAGCAGAGATTTGATCAAGAGCTTACAGCAACAACAGCCGGGACAAGGACAATCTTGTTTGCGCCTTTGTAGGGAACTAACTGAGCTGTAACGACGAAAAGAGAGAATTAAACAGGAATTACAAGCAAATGTTTAGGAAAAAAATGGAGAGCATACTGCACAGCCTGGTAAAGCTTTAAGCACTTCGAAAGACCCAGATGTAATAAACAAGTTTAAGGACAAGGAGAATGCCAAACATTAAAAAAAAAAAAACAAGCACATACAGCTCCAACTATCAATAACCAAAACAAGAACAAAAGAGACAGCTTACGTTCTGTACAGCCAAAAACAAAGACTTTCTTCCCGTGGAGCAAACCACCTTCCTCCAATGCTTCCTGACATACAAATGAAGTAACATAACTATCAGAATCTCCTCAGCCCTGGAAAACTTGTCGAATCAACAATACACAACGAAACTGGACAATATAATACAAACATGAAACAACTTACTTCAAGATTTTTGAAATCCCAATTGAACTCATAAACCGCATCCAATTTGTCCCACTGCCACCACGATTTAACAAACATAAGCAAAGAACAACTTAAATTCTTAATAGAGACAGAAACTCCAACGTTGAAGTCAGATTCTTCAAAACAATATACCTCAGTCCCCACTGGAAATGCAGCCTTCCACAAACCCTCCTGAAGAAAACAAATAAGCCCTTTGTTTAGAAATCAAAAACACAGAAAGACTTCAAGATATCATGAGAATAACATACACTAAACCATTCAATACGAATACTTCCCTCCAGTAACTTAAACTCGTCATGACATACTATATATGGCACACGAAGTATAATGGCCTACAATTATTAGATAAACCCACCATCTCATTCTTATAAGCCTAATCGAAGAGATGGCTCTTTAACCCGTTTAAGATGAGATTAGATATTCAAGAGTAAAGCATTACCAGATTACGTTCTTCCTCAAAGTACTCAGGCTCTTCCTGAGGTTTAACCACTCGAGCTTTCTTAGCTCTCGGAGCAGGTTTCTTCTCATCTTTCACTTCAGCTTCCTTCTTCGCGGCGGCTCTCTTTCGCTTACCACCACCGCGACCAGCAGGCTTCTTCTTATCTCCATCCTCCTCATCCTTGACGTCCTCCTGCTGAGAAGCTGAAGCGACATCGACCTGATTCTCCTGCTTCGAGGAATCAGGTTTCTCTTCCTCTTCCTGATTCTCCTTCACCTCTTCCCCGTTGTCCTTCGCCTCTTCCCCGTTCTCCTCGGTGACATCTTCCTTAGGTTGTTGACTCTCCTCCTGCGTCGACGCCTCGAGAGAATCCACAATCACCTCATCGTCGTTCTGACTCTCCGCAACAGCAGCACCTTTGCGACCTGCTTTGGAAGCAGCACCTCTTCTCTTCGCTCCTTTCTTCATCGCAACAAAACTAAAGATTGAGAACGAGAAACGCTACTACTGCTTCGCCGACGAAGCGAGAGAGAGAGAGAGAAAGGTTAGGGCACTGTGGCGGTGGATCCTGGATTTCGAATTTGGGGGTTTTATGTTTATTTATTTTATCTATTTCATCTACGTTGTTGTCTTTGTACTCCTGCGTCAAATCAACGCTTCTTCTCAATAGAAATTAGGGTTTCTTTAAAAATGAATTTCCCCAAATTAAATAAGGCGCCTGTTTGGTAAAACATGTGAGTCCCAAAACTAAAATTACATTTATTTTGCCGGCATAAATTTAATTATTTTGAATTTTGGGATGGCGGAAGTTTGACGTTCCTTGTAAAGCTGTGAAATTATTAAACTTTACAGATTTGTTTAGGTTATTGACTTTGATTGGTAATCATTTATGGAATCACAGCAAACAAATAGTTAAACGGTAAAAAAAATTAAATAAGTTGCAGAAAATTTTAAAATATACAGAATAATAGAATATATATTAGATCGATTAAAATATTTTGTATTGTAAATACTTTATTATAACAAAAATTATAAATAGTTAAACTAATTATTACAATATATGAAAATAAAATAAAACTTATTAAAAGTATTATACTTTTTACTATATATTTAGCTTTTTAATATATTTTTAATAATAGATTAACATCTTATTATATAGAATAGATTATAGTATAATTTTATATACAACATAAATATTATTATTATAAATATTAGTATTTTACTGAAAATTAGAAAATGATTTATCATATAATTTAATAACACAAAAGTGTTTATTTGGTAAATAATCTACTAAAAATTAAAATCTTCAAATTTCAATCGCCATTTTCAACAATCAATCTTCAATCATCAAAACACTGAGTTTAAAACTCTGGAAAAAAAAATCTAATAATAAAAAATTAGATATAATTAAAAGAGATAATAAAAAACTACATTTCCAAAAACACAAATCTTTCCCAATCCCAACCGAAGTTTATATTAAGCTAAGTATTAATATTAAACACAAATATTAATATTAACTAAATACCCAAATATATATTAAGTTAAGTTTTTGAGTTAGATATTTATATAATAGATAATTATTTTAGAGGTTCAATAATATCTAAATGTATTTTCAATTCATACTAGCAATTGAGATCATGTTTAATATAATACTAAGTTATTTTTCTAAAATTTTAAATTTTGGATTCTACCAGATATCCATTTAGAATCGAATTCGGTTAGAATAATATCTATAATTCGAAATAATATAAAATAAAATCTATTTGGTATTTTATCAGATTGGTTTAGTTTTTTGGATTTGGTTTTTATGTGGTCTGTTTCACTCATAGTGCAAATCAGGTTGAATTTGTCCAAATAGAGCAGTAAGAGGTATTTTAGCTAATTAAATCAAAATCTGAGGACCCGTTTTACAAATTCATTGTTTCTAAAAAACTTCCTCCATTGCTATCGTCTCGAACCGAAGCTCAAAACTATGGATTCTTCTGAGTAAAACGAAAGCATTATTCACTATGCTCTCCACTTCGAAACTGCAATCTCCGCCCAAACCTGCAACCTTCGTCAATCCAATTTTCAAACAAGGACTCATCGCTAAAAAACTTCCGTTTCGCCGCCGGTACTCTCTCCATCAAGCTTCTCTGCGATTCGCCAAGGTCTCGGACTCGATCGCTCCTCCACTGCACTCGAATCCGCATGAATCATCATCCCGTCTAACTTCTTCCGTGGGACAACCTTCTCTCCAATGGACACTCACTCAAAAACACTTCGTCTTGCTAAACGTCGTCGCTTGCGTTGTAAGTCTCTCTGCTCAATCTCCGAGATCTCACACTAAATCGTATCCTCCATGGATCTAGGTCAAAACAATTTAAATTGATTATTTGCAAATTCAATTTTAGCTGAGGATTTGATTCAATTCAACATCATCACCATTACTATACACTTGCAGACAGCTATTTCAGCATCATGGCTATTCTTAGCTGCGATTCCTACTCTCCTGGTTAGTTATCGAACATTTAGTTTTATAGATTCTACAAACATTTGCAGTTAAAAGTTGTTTACTATGACATGTTTAAAAAAAATAAGGCATTCAAGAAAGCAGCAGAGTCCGTTGAGAAGCTTTTGGATGTAACAAGAGAAGAGCTGCCAGATACAATGGCTGCTCTTCGCTTGTCTGGAATGGAGATTAGTGACTTAACTATGGAGCTTAGTGATTTAGGGTTTGTTTTATTTCTGTTTTCCCCCTCACATCCATCTTCGTTTCTTGTTTATAACTCTTTGGTGTTGTTTGTTATGGTAGGCAAGGTATCACTCAAGGTGTTAAAAGCTCAACACGTGCTATCCGCGTGGCTGAAGATAGACTAAGACGGTTTACAAACATGAATCCAGGTTTAACCATCGTTACTTTCCCAAGTTCTTGTTTTTTTTTTTTCAGATATTGATTCTTTTTTTGGTTAACTTTCATGTTTACTTCATCAGTAGCTTCAATGCAGGAAGTGAAGTATCAGACCAAGAGAAACGAAACAGAACCAGTGGTGGCTAAAACCGCGAGGAATTTAAAGGAAGGGATCGTTAAGGGACGTTCTTTATGGCAAATGTTATTCACAGTTACTCGCTTCTACAAAACTGCGAGGAGTTATTTTGCAAAGCGAGTTAAGCAGTAGAAAGTTTACCATCACATCCTTGTTTTTCCTTTTGCCCTTTTGCAGAAACAGAGTCTAGCTCGAGTCTTGGTAGCTTAAGAATACTCTACTTTGATTGATATGAAAACTGTTATTGAATCATAAGATGCATAGCGAGTTTCTTTTAGTGTTACTGGTAAACAAGAGTATTCAATTCTACAACATAACAAAAGTTAAGGAAGACTCTAGCTACATGTCGTAGGTGTTAACTCCACCTCTTTTCCCTGAGCTCGCCATCGGTTTACTTTTCCGTTTTCTCGCCAAGTTGAGACTCCTCGCTGTGGTTTTATTAGATGAAGCATCTTCTTCCTTCTCCTGCCACACAAAACCAGAAAATAAAAGAACTGAAAATACTCGTTTTGGTAAAACGAAAGAGAGAGAGAGATAATCATTAGTTTACATTTCTTGCTTCATCTTTCGCCATGTCTGAAGAAGAAGGTGAGTGTTTGGGTTTCAGACACTCTAGGAAAGCCATCACAGTTTGAGTGATAAACTTGCACCGATATCTTTGAGATTTCTTCTCTTTAAGCATCTTCTCTGTCTTTAAGTATTCTCTCTGTGACTTTCTAATCAAATCTTCATCTCTACTAAAAGACCACAAGATTAATCATTCTTCACTAAAAAAGCAGTAAAGATAGATCCGAATAAATCTTTTTGCTCCTCGTTTCTATAAAGTGGCCGTCTCTGTCTTTGTAGAAGCTGCTAGAAAAAAAAAGGTCCGATAATCAATTCAGTATCCACCAAGAGTGGTCCGGAAAATCCCGAAACCGGTTTATGAAAAATGCCCTACTATGTTATATGATTTTTTGTAATAAATGTATAAATTGAGGGTAGCTTCATAACACGTGTGCATGACGAAAGGTAGTAATAATGATGTGTAGCACTCAGGTGCCAATACCTGCAATCCGTTGGGTCCCTGCAGTGACTCTCGTAGTCACATCTCCTCGGCGCTAATGGCTGAAGCCCTGCCATCCGTTTTGCGGTTATGCACGCCGCCTCGTCAAACATTAAAGTCCTGATGATTCTGTCGGATTCTCTCTCCATGGTCAAGCTACTGAAGGAGAAGAAGTCACTGTCAGCGTTGTTTGGAATTGTGTTCGATATCTATCATTTTAGCACTATATTTGATTCTGTTTCGTTTCGTTATGTTTCTCGATTGGGTAATGTTGAGGCTGATTCTATGACAAAATCAGCCTTAGCATTGCTTAACTCCTCCAGCAATGGAGTGTAAAACTCTAGTTATTTGAATGAAGAATGAATGTTTGATCAAAAAAAAAAAAATGATGTGTAGCACTATTAAATTGCATAAGAAATAACAGTCCCCACCTTATCATTGACGATTTCGATGTGATAGACACTACAGAATGTACATGTAATTAGTTTAGCGGTTAAATACGATTATTTTATTTGTTTTACAACTTGCTCACACATTATCACACGAGCTTCTCACTGTCTTTTATTATTATGAAACAAAAGGTCTCGGTGAGGTTACAATCTTCGAGAAATGTACAATGCAAAAGGGGAAACAGATCATATTTTCTTACACTAATTACATGAGCATGTAAGCAAGAATCTTACTATACATAACCTAAGAAGGCGTGTTGTTGATACCTCCAGGCTTGCCGGAACTGGCTCTCGACCTCTGCTGTGGTTTCGGTTTCGCCGGAAGCCCCCTCGATGATACTTCCACAACCTCAACCACTTCCTCCTCCACTTCTTCCTGTTTGTGTGAAAATATGCTATTTTTATTAGATTTTTACATCTTTGTTTTATATAAAAGAGTTAATGGGTCGTGTGTTGTCAGCGCTAGCGTTGAGGAAAGCTTTGTTTGGTGAGGTGTCAACATCTTAGTAAATTGAATATTATGAAATTTATTTTAAAATACCTTTTTTTTAGACCACCCAAAAAAGTTCATTTTAATTTCAACATGTTTGTTATTTTAACAGTTCGTACTAAAATGCATTGATCAATATGTAAGGGAGAAGTAGTAGCTCTAACAATATGCTAATAATATGTTATAATCAAAGAAAAAGGAGAAAATAATAGTGTGTCAAAAATGATTGTTGTATCTACGACATCAGAAATATAGTTTTGTTGACGTCTCTACTCGTGACTACAGAAAAATTGTTGGCTAGTAACACTATTTAGAATTAATAGTTAATAACCCAAACAAATCAAACCCTACTTCAAGTGTTATGTTCTTCATTTGAACTTACAAGCGCCTTGGACACTGCGATTATTACATTAATCTAGAAAAAATGCTACGTAAATTTTGTTGGTTGTTCAACATGCATGTTACGTAAGCAAAAGCATAGTCCATGGAGGAAAATTTAATGTAATAACTAATAAACCACATATACTATCACGTTGAGGATATATTAATTCTACCATTTTCAGAGAAGTAGATCTAAAATCACATGAAACTTCACCTTCATCTGAAATGTTGAATTGCAAATGATAGAGGAATTACTTACCTGAAAAGTATGGTTGGAAGGAGTTTGCAGACCGAAAAGCTTGAGTAAGAGAGATCGGAGAGTTTGGTAGATGAACTTAAACGGAAGCCAGAGATAATAAAAAAATCCTTCGTCTTCTCTTCTTCCTTCTCTCTCCATGTTCTCTTCGATTGAGCTAACTGAGAGAATGAGTGACTTGAGTTCCGTTTTAAATATTTATATACGCAGGCTGCATCAGGTTTTACATCAATTATAATAAAATGGTCATTAAATATACTATTAATCGTGAACAAAAAAAAAAAAATATATATATATACTATTAATCTTGACTACTCAGATAACAACAGCTCATTTGGCGCGTCTATTTGTAGCACTGCAATTTAAAAAATATATATATACGTACTCCAATTTGTATTCAACAAGTTCAGACTTATATAGTTATATTTCAAACCAAATGTGTGTGTTTTCTATAAAGAAAATAGAGGTAATTTTTGTTGGAACTATCTTTTAGACATTATGAATAGTGTATTCATATGTCAAAAAATGAAATTTATTTGAATGAGAAATGGAGATTTAATATGTGTGATTTGAGAAACTTTTATAAAGTAACAAATATACATATTAGATATTTGGATTTGGGTTTTGATTTTGTTAGTTGGACTTCATGTTCATTAACATAATATTATAAACCAAATATATGTTGATCTTTTATATTGATAAAATATAAAAAATCCATTTTAAAATTTATTATTTAGTTTGAATTGGTCAAATAAATAATAGTTTTACTATTTAATTTATTGGTCAAAATGTGGAATAAATTCACATATTAACTGATAAAAATTAAAAGACTCCATTAGTGCATATTGGAGGTTTGTTTTTTGTTGGAAAATGAAACATGTGCTTCTCATTATGTTCTATAAAAAGGTTTGTAAGCATTATAGAAACATATACAAAAACACACACAACAATGAAAGAAAAATTCACATTCCCTCAAACATGATACACTATTTATGATTCATTTGAATATCCGAAAAAATTGTCCATTTGTGGGTTGCATTTTTCGTTAGATAAAAATAACAGCTCAAACAGCCTTACATACTGTCAGTAATCATATATATATATACAAAAGAAATGATATCTATAACAATTACACATCACTGATAAGAATATTCTAAGTTCAAGATTTCTCCGTACGCAGAGCCGATTCTAGAGCCGGTTCTGAGAATTATGAGGTCTAAAACGATTCTTTTATAATTTCACCAAAATTTTTTTTTACGAATTCGGGGGTTTAAAAAAAAATTTAGAGACCTATGTACATGTAATAGTTTGTATACTCTAATTATGATTTTATTTTCTTACTCTAATTATGGTTGGTCGTGATGGGTTAAGTAAAACAAAATTTTGATTTCAAATACTCTCTCTTATCAGTAAAAATCTCCCAATATATATATAACAACATGAAATATCATATTAGGAGAAGTCAATATGATTATTCTGAAGATATCAATGAAATAGAATACATATATTGTAATAATTTATTTTAATATAAAAGATACATACATTATTTTCGTAACCTTTAGTCACAGCAGACTTTGGGAAACAACAGCTTTTATGTTTTTAATGGTTTACAACCTTATGTAACTTCATGAAATGTAACGGTAATTAACTAGCAGATACAATAATATATAGTACACACGAAACGATATTTTATGAATGAACGTGAATTTGTATGCAACTGTAAGTCTGTAATCCGTTTTCCACGTGCAGTATGGGTGATAGCAAATAAAGAACAAATCAAATCCTTAGTTGCGGCGACCTGGCCTTCCAGAGCTAGGCGACTCTCCATCCCTTTGCTTTGATCTTAGTATCATTCCCCTTGTTGTCACGACTCCGTTTGGAGCCTCCTACATGCATTTGTAAACTTCTTGTTATAAATAGGTCACCATATTATTTCTCAAATAGGTACGTCCAATTTGTTCAAATCAATATAAAACAAAAAGAAAATTCATTTTGGAAACTTTGAAATTAAAGCTATATATAACTACATCAAGTGAATTGCATAATATTAAAATGAATCACACAAAATCACAGTTACAGTTAGGTTTTACATTTCAAACCAGAAATATCTTAAGTAGATGAAGCGAGTAGGATCAGCCCTATGCCATGCTAAATAAAAACCATGCTAAATGAAACATTTACCACATGCTTCTAAATTTTTTGAAGAAAACTATATGGACAAATGTCCCAAAATTTTTTTTTTACTATAGAAATAGCCACAAACTTCCATAATCTCAAGGCCGGCTCTAGAACCGAGACTGGGGATATCAAATTATATATGCATGTGAATATGTATACTATAAACATGAATAACACCTTGATCTCCTATACTTTCTTTGCTAATAATTGATTACCGAAGGAGAAGAAGAGATATGAAGACCAAGACATTTTAGGAAGCTCTTGATAAAGAATTGAATAGGTGTACAAAGATGAGAGCTTTCTTCTTTGCTTTGTCTCTCTTCCTCCATTGAAATCAAACTCGTACTAAATTTTTTGTATCCTCGCGGATTATGTGTGAATGGATGTTTGAGTAAATATATGAAATGATGCTTTGTCTTAATATGTCTAGTATCCTTTTATAACGCTGACACAACGAAGAATAATACCATGTGTGCCTCTAAAACTTGGTATTAGCAGGGCCGGTTTAGTCGGGATGGAAGGTGCAACGTCGCGAGGTCCAACTTTGGATCCAATATTAAAAACAACTCGTTATACATTTTATGCTTAAACAATCCAATTTTAAAACAGAAGTCAAACAAAATTAATAACGTTAGCTGAAATTATTTATAAAAAAATTCAGGTTCAAAAGATAATTATTTTGTTGATAAATAATTTTAAAATTGTTTGTTCGAAGAGCCTCTAGTGATGTTGACCTGGACATGGGCCCTGGGTATTACTTGTCATCGGTCCATTTCCATATTGCAATATGCTTTACTATAATTCTTAATCTTTCTTATACTCCCAAGCTTTCCAATGCATTATTGGTGACCTATTCTTGAGTTTTCAATTTAAAGTTGTCAATAAATAACTTTGCAATCATGACTGTTACTGTAATAATATTGGGGATAAGCCTTACAAAAACAATATTCACGCACTAGTCATATAAATTAAGTGTAACAAAAGCTATACATTATTTAATGGTATTATTATTTTTTATACGATAATAGTTTAATTAAACATGTTTCTTTTTGATTTAGACTAACTACCATTAGTACCCGATTGTGATGAAAGTATAAAGAGAGAAGAACTGAGCATTTCGAATCTTAATTTTTGGTTAGGGTCACAATATTTACCCATCTGTTTAATAAAAGTCCCAAATACGGTTTCAAGACTTGGAAATAGGCAACATTCTTCGATCAATAAGAAAACAAAAACATTTGTTGACAGTGGGATTTGAACCCACGCCCTTTCGGACCAGAACCTTAATCTGGCGCCTTAGACCAACTCGGCCTTATCAACTTGTTGTTCAACTCTATTTTCCTATAGATATATTATTGTGTTTTGGATATAAATATTGAATAAGAAAAAAAGGAAAAAGAAAAACCACATAAATAAAAAAAAGATGGGTCAATGTCACCTGAAGAATTGTCGACTGCCCCCAGCCACTAACTTCGTAGCAGGTGATAAGTCAGTATCTTGAAATGAAATGAAATGAACAGTGAAGAGACAAAGACACGAGCCTAGTTTCAGAATGCAGAGATACGACTCCATGCACAGGTTTCGGTGTCTTTAATTTATACAACTAGACCAGACCATCAGTCTCAGCGACGAAACCTATGACTTCTTCACCTCCACATTAACTCTCTGTTTTCTCGGTTCTTTTATCTTGGCTTTTAACTTTTAACTCCAAAAGACGAAAAAATAGTTTTGGATTTGAGTACATATATGTAGACACCATGGCAACATATTATTTGAATTATTATTCAAAATAAATTGATCCATGTGGCCGACGACCATCTAATTATAATATATGAATAAACATATTTTCAAATTAGTGGTTATTATATATTAGGATGTGTTTTGATTTTTATATCTGGAATCTCCATTTGATATCTCGGCTTATTTTCACTTTAAGTAAAACATATCCAAATGGCCAAAACTTAGATATACATAACTAGGCGAAGGTAATTAGTGACATGCGAGTTTTGAGTTGATAACAAATATGAACTCAAAAGCATCACACTATATTATAAAGTGTGATTACCTGGATATCAACCTATTAGTTACTGCTTATTTCAATATCGAAAAGTTTTATTTATGAACTATTTTTTTGACAATTAATCTGAATTTTTCTATAGTTCTCGGATATTCCTAGATTATAAATAACTTATGTATACTGTATACATAAGAGACTTCAAATTAGTAATAAGTATTTTTACTCTAATCGCTCTGATAAATGTTCATTTCCAATAAAATGTTTCATATATAGAGTAATCAAACAAAAGTACTTTTAGTCATTAGATCATCGGGCTATATATCTGACCATCATATCGATTATTAGTTCATTGCTCTATTCGCACGACAACAAATCTTATACCAAAATATTATGTCATGTAAATATCTATTCATTAGAAAAAAACAAGGTCACGTCACCTTCTTTGGGATCGATCACCATCATCTTAGCTTTCTGAGAGCCTATTTATTTTTGTCCAGCAATGTTAACAGAACTTGTCTTGATTTGAGATGAATATGACAAGTGTAATCAGTTCACTGATTTTTCTCTTCCAAATTTTTTTCCCACCGACAGATCAAACACACCAAAGCATGTGTGTGTGTGTGTGTGTGTGGCTCTATACATGAACTAGAGTTTTGTGCCATCGCTCCGTGCTCTCCTTCCGTGTGCTGTGTTTCTTGAGAATTATCCAAGATAGATTACGGATATTGTTAATTACTTTATCAAATTCATGGATGAAATTGAATGATTCTAATCAACGTAAAACCTTGAAACTTTAAATTTTATAAGTGTTATTTGCATCCACCAGAGAAACATAGACTTGAAATGTGTTTTGTTAATGAACGAGTCTCAATTTTTTAAAAAATAATTAGCTGATATATAAAGAGACATGTCAGTTCATTTATCAATAATTAGTTGAAACTAAAAGTCTTTGATAAATTCAAATTTAACATGATATTAGACTCATGGATCGTTCCGTTGATGTTGTTCACTAAATTGTTCACGGTAAACGTGAATAAGAATGTTAATAAAGGAATATAAAACCTCACATCAGTAGTTATAAAATAAATAACTAATATATAAAATAAAACTAATTTAATTATTAACAATTGATTTTGATCGGAAAGCACATAATAAATCCCAAATTAACATGTTTCAAACTGATTGGTCCGGCCTAATCAAATGACAACTTCAATAGGTTATCTGCCCAGAGAGAGAGCTTCTCCCCTTAATTTCTCTTACTTTTGTTCCCCGGCCGTTCTTTAAATTATGAAAGCATAAAACTTTCATAAATAGTTAAATACAAATACTTGTGTCTAAATACATTAATGACATGATACCACTTGAATGCCTCCTTCTCACAAGATGACAACGTATCTGTAGGATTTAACTTACCAAGCAGGTGCACCAAATTGATCAAAATCGTCACATTTAAAACACAACCATCTCAGTGTTATGTCCACGTCCCACCCGGTTTGTTTGTTTTGATTCTGAAAATATCTCGTTCTCGCAAGCAAACAAGTGCAACTATTTCGATTTTTAGAGAAATATACAGGTGAGTTAAACAACGTACGTAGCCAAATAACAAGGAGATCTGACTAAAACTGAAATGATCCACTTATTTAGAGTTTTAAACGCATACTAATCAAGGATAATGATAATGAAAACTAAGTTCGTACATAACAAACCGAGTTACTAGATCAACTAATTGTAAACATAAGCAAACCACACGACAAGCAATCCAAACCTCTCTCGACAAAACAAAGCAAAAACGCAACAAATATAGAAAACAACATAAGGCTGACTAAAAGTCAAAAACCCTAAAATTTAATTTATTTCCGTTACAACGGCACGTAACGGATGCTCCATCTCACAAGAAAGCTTCAAGACCTCATCAAGATTGACCGGTTCTGTCTGATCTTGACTCCACTCGAACCTCCGCACTAGCTCAGCCACCCAACGAGTCACAGTAGCTAAACCCATGTTCTTCCCCGGACACACCCTCCTTCCGGCTCCAAACGGAGCAAGCCTTAGATCCCCACCACGTATGTCCACGTCACCATTCCCAATGAACCTCTCCGGGTTAAACTGTAACGGGTCGGACCATACAGTCGGGTCGTGAGTGATGGCCCACATGTTGACCATCGCTGTAGTACCCTTTGGAACCACCATGCCGTTGCTGAGCTGGACATCTGACGTGGAAAGACGGGCCCACGATAGCAATGGTCCAGGAGGATGCAGCCTTAGAGTTTCCTTCAACACTGCGTTCAAGTAAGGGAGTTTTGCAAGGTCAGTATCTGCCACGTCGACTCTGTCGCTCACTGCCGTTTTGATCTCGTCCCTTAGCTTGGCTTGCACGTTAGGGTTCAGTACTAGTTCAGCCATGGTCCACTCCGTTAATAACGCTGTCGTATCAGTCCCTCTAAAAATCATCTCCTATACATTTAAAAACAATTAAGATAACATTACAACGTACGAGACCGTTACATAATATAAACCGTTATAACATAACGTGACTATTATTTTCAATTTAATACGGACTTACCCATAAGACGGCGATCATGTCATCTTCTTGAAGCTTCTCGTCACCGTCTAAAGACAACAACACATCAACGAAATCTCCAACATCTCTTTTCTTCTCCGAGTTACCTTCTCGATGTTCCTCAATAATTGTCTTGACGAGGGTTTTGATTCGAGGAACAAGATCTGAGCAACGTTGCTTCAAACGAACAGGATCATAGAAATAACTCAACCATGGAAGATGATCAGACCAATTAAAAGCACCCAAGAGCTCGAACCCTTCTCTAACCATCGATGTAAGCTCATCAAGAGCCTCTTTCTGAGCCAGAGGGTCATATCTTCTCCCAAACACACTCCCCATGATATTGTTCAAGGCCGCTAACTGCAAGTGTTTCCTCAAAACGACGGATCCAGCGCCGTTTTGCTCTTCTGACACAGCTCTCACCATTTCGGCGCAGTCTAGCAGACGTCCAGCTTCATGTGCTAAAATACGCTTTGGAGCGAATAGATGAGTCGACGCGATCCTTCTTAACGTGCGCCAGTACGCCCCGTTGGGCGCAAAACCTATAGCTCGGCTGAACATGAGGCTCTTAGCCGACTGCTTAACCGGCCGGTCCGCGAAGTGAGGCGACATGAGAATCTCACGGGCCGTGTTCGGCTCGGAAGCCACGATAACAGGCGTGGCCCCGAGGCTGAAAGCCATAATCTCAGTGTTGGCTCGGCTCCAAGCCATGGCGGCTAGTGACCGATGAGCCAAGCCGCGGCTTAGAGTGAAAAGATTACCGAATATTGGTATGCCTCGAGGACCAGGAATCGCGACACGACCAATACGGTTACGGCCGTTCTTCCATGCAACGCCACCGCCTCCGGAGAAAGCCCACGTGAGTAGAGAGAGGGAAACGACGGCGAGGATTAGGTAGCCGAAGATGGAAACATCGTACATGTTTTGGGTTCCAAAAACGGCGGGTAGTGCGATCATCCAATAACTTGTTTCTTTTGACGCCATATTCATCAGCTCCATCTTTTTAAAAATATTTTTTGTAAGTTCTCAAAAAGGTGCTTTTATTTTGGTTTGAGAGAGGAACAATGGTGAAGGTATAAAGGGTATATATAGATAGATATGAGAGTATAAATATACCCACATGCATTTTTTGGCAGCGTTGATTAAATGCGCAATGCATGGGAAGAGAGACGTCTGTTTCAAAATGTTTATTTTATATATATGATATTAATGTAAAATTTGATTAATGTAGGGAAATTGAAATAGTAAGGTTAAAAAATGAGAGAAACACGTGGAGGGAGCTGGTAAGTTGCATGAATTGGTTTGGTGTTGAGATGAAAATGAAAGATATGTGTGTGATGCGAAGGCGTTATGACAATGAATTCTGCATTTTTATTGTTCTCTTGATAAAATCATTTAATTTTGTTCGCACCGTTTTATTTGCATCGATTGGAGATACTATGGAATTTAATGAGGTTCGTTAAACCGAAAAGGGATTTAATGAGTCAAATATTATTTCGGCTTAGGGAATACGGAAGGAGGAATTAATTAATGTATATGATTTTTAGAGAAAAATAATACGAATCGGTTATAGATTGGGCTTTAGAGAGTTTGTGACGTACGCCTTATTTCATTTCTTCTTCTAATTCCTAACTATAATTATCTTTATTTTATTAAACAAAAACATAAAAATAAAAATGGCGACTGTGCGAAAAAACGGTTACCAAGGCGATTTTCCAGCGATTTTCGATTTCGATTGTTTCTCTCTTAGTGGGAGATTTCTTCTGGTTCATGATTCCGATTTCCAAGGAGTAGTTGATGCCAGTTTCTGTCCGTTGACGTTCGTGTCTGGCGGTTTCTTTGATGGTTACTTTTTCAAGTTTCAAATCTGGGAACCGCCATGGCCATCCATATATAGGTGGTTTGTCTTACTTAATACCATTTCATTCCAGAAAATGACAGAGCGTATGATGAATCGTTTACAAAACTTAACTCTTGGGATTACTGACGAACCAATAACTCTTCCGGCGGAGGTCTGTGATGAAGCGGCTTCATCAAATCCATTTACTGTGGTGGTCATGCGTCTAAATCCAAGGAAGCAGAATCTACGGGCTCTGGCCCTTCAGTTTCCTCGCCTGTGGGGTGTTTCTGAATCGGTGATTGGGCGTGTTATTGGTCCTGATAAGGTTCAGTTTCTTTTCCCTTCAGAAGAGACCATGAATCTGATTCTCCGAAGAGGTCCCTGGAGTTTTGCAGATTGGATGGTCACCCTGCACCGGTGGTCGCCTAATCTCTCTGATGATGCTTCAAAGGTGATACCTTTCTGGATCCAAATAAGAGGAATCCCTCTTCAATACCTTACGAAACCGATGATTCGTTTCATTGGTGGTATTCTTGCCCCGGTGGTTGATGTCGACTTTGAAGAAAACTCGACAACTCGCGTGGATTTTGTACGTGTGCGTGTGCTCTGGAACACTGACCATCCACTCCGTTTCCAGCGAAACTTTCAGTTTGGGCAGAATGAATTTACCGTTCTTACTTTCAAGTATGAACGGTTACGTTGTTTCTGTCAAACTTGTGGAATGCTATCTCATGATCGTTCTGAATGCCCATTGCGTGAGGGTGATGAAGAGGATGGCCATGATGAGGATAACAACGATGGTGATGACAACGTTGCAAATGATGATGTGTATGCTTCTGAAGAGGAGGATAATGCCCTTCCAAAATTTACGAGAGGGGCTCTTGCTGAATCAGAGGAAAGAATTTCAGACAGGTGTATTGGGGAGACTGAAGATGAGATGATCAATCTGAACCCGGATCAAGACTTATTGGCAGAACATTCAAGGTATTTTGAGGCAAAGAAAGGTCTAGCGGTAGCAACTGAAGAGAAATCAGTGGATGTGTATGCAAAGTTTGAGGAACACATGGCAAGTATAAAGAGGAAGCGTGATGATATGGACACTGCTCTTGCAAGCCCACCTCGCAGTTCTAAGCGGATGGACCTGAGTCCGCTGATCTTGAAGGATTTTGGCGATACTGTTGAGGATGGCACTAACATAGACAGAGGCGCGGGAGGCCCGGTACTCCCACTGTCTCCATGAAGATATGCAGCTGGAATTGTCAGGGCCTAGGAGGGCTGCTGACAGAACCGCGATTGAAGGAGATTGTGCGGGATGAGTCTCCTGATATCTTATTTCTATGTGAAACTATTAGTAGATGTGATGTTGTTCGTGATCAAGCTGTTGTATTAGGTTTTCATAATGTTTTCACTATCCCTCCTGTTGGTAGGAGTGGCGGTTTAGCTATCCTTTGGAAAAAGGAAATCTATATTAGGAAGTTGTACTATGGTGAAAGGTTGTTGGATGTTTCTGTCAAGTTTAATGATATGAATTTCTATTTGTCTTGTGTATATGGAGATCCCAATCCCCAATTCCGTCATCTCCTTTGGGAAAGAATTGAGAGGATTGGAACTTCTAGACATGACCCATGGATTCTCATGGGAGACTTTAATGAAATTCTGTCTAATGACGAGAAGAAAGGAGGAAGGAAACGTGAAGAATGGACTTTTATGGGTTTGAGAAATTTGTACAACACATGTGGTTTGACAGATTTGAAAGCACACGGGGATCGTTTCTCTTGGTCAGGGAAGAGATATAAGCATACTGTGTTATGTTGTTTAGACAGAGTGGCTGTCAACTCAGCTTGGTTGTCCAAATACCCTGCTTCAGAAGCTGCGTTCTTAAGGTTTTATGGTTCCGATCACCGTCCAGTCATTACTAATGTTTTGATGACTCAAACTTCTAAGAAGAAAAAACAGTTCAGATTTGACAAAAGACTTCTAGATTGTGACGATTTTAAAGATTATGTGGAACATGGCTGGAATGTGGGCAGAGATAGACACCAGAATATTGCTTCTCGTCTTGGTTCATGTCGGAGAGCAATGTCACAATGTAAACATATCTCAAATATGAATTCTCGTAAGAATATAGAGGAACTTAAAGATCAACTAGATGCTGCGATAAGTTCTTCTGCTCCTACTGAACATATTCAAACGTTGCAACAGAGATTGTTATCTCAGATACGTGCAGAGGAAGAATACTGGTTTCAGAAAAGCAGAACAAGATGGGTGGTTTCAGGTGACAGGAATACTAAGTTCTATCATTCATATACAAAGGCACGGTATGCTAGGAATACGATACACCAAGTTCAAGATGAGGATGGAGTGTTATATAAAGGAGATTCAGCCATTGGAAACCATGCAGAATATTTCTATAAAGAGATCTATAAAGCTTCTACTATACGCACGAGTCATATTGATCTGTTTGAGAATTTCCCGGCACGAGTTACCTCTGAGATGAATGAAAAATTGACTGCAAACATCATGGACTGGGAAGTCAAGCTAGCTGTTTGGTCAATTGGTGCTGATCGTGCCCCTGGTCCAGATGGTCTGACTGCTAGATTTTATCAGTCATGTTGGGATATTATTGGAGCAGATATAGTGGCTGAGGTTAAATTATTTTTTGATACTTCTTGCATGCCACAGTCAGTAAATAACACTAACCTCTGTCTCATTCCAAAAACACTCAGACCAGAAACATTCTCTGAGTACCGACCAATTGGTCTGTGTAATGTTTTTTACAAAATTATCTCCAAAATACTGGTGCAAAGACTGAAAGTTTATCTTCCAGAGATAGTTTCAAGGGCACAGACTGCATTTGTTCCTGGTAGAATGATAACTGACAATATCCTCATTGCTAATGAACTAATGCATTCTCTCAAGGTTCGTAAGCGTGTATCTAAAACCTATATGGCAGTTAAGACTGATATCTCCAAAGCTTATGATCGTGTAGAGTGGTCGTTTTTGGAACTGACAATGCGTAATATGGGCTTCTCTGATAAATGGATAGGTTGGATTATGGAAACTGTAACAACGGTTACCTATTCGGTTCTTGTTAATGGATCCCCTTATGGCAGTATCCAACCGGAACGTGGTTTACGACAAGGGGATCCATTATCTCCCTACTTGTTTATCCTTTGTGCTGAAGTGCTAGGTCATTTATTGGACACTGCTGCTACTAAGGGCCAGATACGAGGTATCAAAATTGGTAATGGTGTACCGGCTATCACGCATCTACAATTTGCGGACGATTCTCTATTCTTTTGTCAAGCAAATGTGCGAAATGTGTCAAGATTAAAGAAGATCTTTGATGTGTATGAGGAAATTTCTGGTCAAAAAATAAATAAGGCAAAATCGACGATTACTTTTGGATCACGTATCCCCGACGATTTACGAGGCCGGCTAAAAAGAATTCTACAAATTAGTAACCATGGTGGTGGAGGTAAATATTTGGGTTTACCTGAGGAATTTGGAAAGAAGAAGAAGGATATGTTTAAGTTTATTGTTCAGGCAGTAAAACAGAAAACATCGGGATGGAGTTCACAGTTCCTAACACAAGCTGGAAAGGAAGTATTACTAAAATCTTCGGCAATCTCAACACCTGTTTTCAGTATGTCGTCTTTCAAGATTCCCCAATTAACAATAGGAGAGCTCACAAGTGTGATGTCTGGTTTTTGGTGGGAGAAGTCTCCATCAACAAAAGGTATTCCCTGGGTTGCTTGGCAACGTATGCAATACCCAAAATGTCAGGGTGGTTTGGGTTTTAAAAATCTTGATAAGTTCAATGATGCCTTGCTTGCTAGACAAGCATGGAGACTGGTGACACAACCAGATTCTCTTTTTGCCAAGTTTTTTAAAGCTCGATATTATAAAGATACCCATATATTACAAGCAACACCTAAAAGACACCAATCCTATGGGTGGGCTTCTATAATGATAGGTATTAATTTGCTCAAAAGGGGTTCCCGTTTCATAATTGGTAATGGGGAATCGGTAAGACTATATGATGATCATTGGCTCCCTACTGATCC